TCTGCCTTCCTATTAGGGTCTTTTCTGCCTTCACTTTCATGATTTATCATTTCAGACTTTACAGAATGTACCAGCCAAGATAGGAAGAGACAGTCACACACAGTATGTGTCAAAGTCCCAGCCAACATTAAAAATGATGATAGTGTCTATATACAGAGCTGAGTAGAAACTGACCCAAAGTTTTCATAAGAGACAGACACCACCCAGGCTGTGTGAAAAAATAGTGATTTTCAAGTCAACTGAAAGTCAGAGGAGCTAAAATTGGTACAGATTTTGCCTTGCCACATTGGGTAAGATTGTTAAAGTTGGGGGCTCAAGAAACAATGGTACCTTTTGTTGGAAGAACGGAATCCATTCTGAGCTGGGAGCTGGCTTGAATCTCATTTTTCCTAAACAAGATCTCCAGTGTTTTGGGGCTGACAAATTTAACAAAGAAACCCATCATTTTCAGAGAATCTACTCTCTTGACTCTTCTTTTTTATAGAATATATACATACAATGCATTTAAATGTATGGTTTTGAAATTGATAAAATTGGAACTGTCTCCCGTGGATTCCATGGTGTCCCATTTCTTATTAGAATTTTGAGGTTATTTATGCTGTTGCATAGGACGAATGTGTTTTTCAGTGATGCCTGGTTGAACACCACATAAATACAACATAGTATTTTTCTCTTCTACTATTAATGAACATCTCGATTTCTGGTTTGACTCTTAGAAATAATACTAGTATGGACTTTTTGTCACATGTAAAAAAATAAATTAGTATGGCATGGTTTGATTGTGTTAAACATTAATAACTATTCAAAGTCTTACTTACAACATAGTTACAAGTATTTGCTCTTCCATCAACTGTAATATATAATCCATGAAAATTTACATAGTGGTCTTTTTTAGCCAGAATAACAGGTGTTTAATTGTCTCTAGAGACTTTTTTTCTTGCTTTCTGTTAAAAAAAAAAAACAGAAAACAGGACAAAGTACAAATGCACAAATGGCAAGTTATCACATGGTTGGGTATAACAGGACCTTGTTCTCTTTTATCACTGCCCATCCCATTACAGGAACATAACACAACACCCTTCTTTACCACACTGCATGTATTATACTTCCCTACATGGGCTGCATGCTTGTTCATTTCTTATCTGTTGGACTTAGTTCTCTGCTGCACTCTATCATATTGCTGACAGGAATGTTGTACACTTTCAATTTATTGACCGTAAATCATAACACAATGAGTCTCTCATAAGGATCCATTTCAGTACTCGTTCTGGAGTACTCACTGAGGAATGAAGCCACTGATCCCAGGACAGGACCCTGGTTAGGTCATGGCTCTGTAGCTGTGTGTCCCCTTTGTCTGCATTTCAGCAGCTACCTCATTCTTCTAACAAACATTAGAATTACTGAATATTATCAGAATAGCCAAATCTAGAAATTCTATGAGTAAAAATGTTCTAAAAATAAAATATTTTTTTCTTGAGTATGGTGGCTTACATCTTTACTGATAGCACTTAGGAGGCAGAGGCAAGCTGATCGCTATGAGATTGAAGCAATCTAGGAATAGTAAGTTTGAGGCTCAGAGGCAAGCTGATCGCTATGAGATTGAAGCCATCTAGGAATAGGGAGTTTGAGGCTAGCCAAAGGTACACAGTTAAGACTCTGTTTATAAAAATAAAGAAAAAATAAATATTTTCTCCCATTAATAACAACAACTTTCATCAAAGCAGCATTTTTCTTAAAGAATAAGTGGTAAGTACAGGATATTTTTAAATTATTAAGGATTTATCATTTTCATTTATCCTGTTTAAAATCCACTTAATGCCATTTCACCTCACCTTCTCCTGGTGGCCAAGACAGACAGCAACAGACAAAAATTGACTTCAGGGGATCAGGCCACCAGGAAACAAAATTCTTATGGGTAAATCTGGGATAGTCAAGGCCCAGAGACCACAGACCCCAGACAGAATCTTTTGCTTCTTCTGTGCCTTCACATGTTTGCCACTATTTTCCTTTGGTATATTACAGGGTGTGAATACTCATGAGTGATCCCCACTGCCCTCAGTATATAATCATATATTTGAAATAACCTATTCTACTGGGTACTTTTACCTATGGATTTTTATGAAGACGATTTGCTCCTAAGCTATCCTGTTTAACTGAAACAATAATTTTTTATGATAATAGTGTTAGTTTAAATAGGACTTTAATGATTGAGGGTCTTTAATAAATATAGTAAGGGACTCTGTTTAGTGGATAAATTAATATTGGTAAAGGTTAAATAGGATAAAATGTTGCCCTGTCTCTGATAACAACAGGCTGCAGAAGATAAAAGGTAAATTGAGGAAATATCACATAGCTGGAACATGTGAGTTTCTATTAAGGAACTGTATAGACCGTGGCTTATGTTAATGAATAACAAAAACAACTGAGTCCCAGTAGCCCAGCTAGTTTAAATTATATTAATCTTAATGAATGTTGGGAGATGCATTCACAGGTTTCACAGTGCATCATAGCTGAAACAAAGCTTTGAAAATAGCTTAAAGTTAGACAAAGATGTTTTTATTAAGTGGTTTTGAGGTGAAAAAATTCAAGAAACAATCTAAAGTTTTAGAAAGGTTGATAGCTCAGTGAGGAACTTATTAATGGCTTGGGACAAGAACAAAAGAGCACAATTATTATAGCTGATTGGCCTTTCGTGCTCAGGTGAGATGGTGACTAAAGGTGATGATCAATTCCTTGTACCCATTTTCACCTTCACTTCCTGATGTAAACATCTGTTGAAGTGGGGATAGACCCTGAGGATTTAAAATAGAGCTGACTGCTTCTTTTTCATATAAATATGTTAGATTTGTGATTATTTTTGTTTTGAAAGATTTATTTATTTATTATAAATACAGTGTTCTGGCATGGAGGACACCATATCTCATTATAGATGGTTGTGAGTCATCATGTGTTTGCTGGGAATTGAACTCAGAACCTCTGGAAGAGCAACCAGTGCTCTTAATCTCTGAGTCATCTCTCCAGCTCTGACTTGTGATTCTTTTACGATGTCTTATACAGTTATCATTTGAGATTAATAAAAAAAAGATTGGTCCTTTCTTTGTGACGCAAAATGTCGTGTCAGCCAAAGAGCTGACTGAGAAAAATAGTTTGCTTGCTTGCTTACACCCTGTTAATCTATGACAAGTTGCTTGATCATGAATATGTGTGGGTTCTTGGGAAGTCTTGTTTATCACCAGTAATATATGAAGAGTTTAATCATGTAAAAGTTATGGAAAACATGTTGTGTTTTACCTATATTCATTGGAATAGTTCACATGAACAATCTAATGTAACCACATTGTAATTTTTATACTGCTTGAAAGATTTTGCTGGGATATATAAGCTGTAATGAAAAATGGAAGAGTTAAGGCAAGACACCAGGAAACAGTGGTAGAAAGAAGTCATCAGGAAAAACAGAAAAGATGCAGAAGAATAAGAAAAAGATCTGAGGAAACCATCAATAGAGTGTGTGTCTTTTCCTTACCTCCTCAGGTAAGTAGGTCTTAGTATGTCAACTCCATGGATCCCATCTCCTTTGAACCCTTCACTGCTAGAAGGTAGTTCTTATGGCAGTGGTACCTGCCTCCAGAAACTGTGATACTGATGGGGTAATCAAGAAGACTGTCCATGGAAGAGAGGCAGCCATTCTCGGAGATTGACCAGAGTGAGGGATTCTCTTGGAGATTGCCCAAAAAAGAAGAGGCAATCCTCTAATTGTCTCCATGGATAGGGTCTCATTCATGGTGCTGCAGTCTCTTAGGCAGTGACTGCCAAGTAAAGAAGGGTGAGTAATCCAATACTTCCCTAATTCCTTTCATGTTGTTTCCCTCCTGTTTGTCTTTCCTTCAGGATGGGTCAAGAACACTCTAAAAGAAAAAACAATTCTTCATTGATATTATTGAACATAGGCTTACAAAAAGGAATTGAGACCAGCCCTAGTAAGCTATCTGATTTTATTTTATGTTTGCACAATCAACCTCTGGTTTCCAGACTGTAGAACTTCAAGTGCAGATGCTTGGACTACAGTAAGGATAAATATTAAGAACTAGCATGAAGAGAAATTGAAAAAGACATGCCTCTTACATCATATTCTATTTGGAGAGTTGAAAAAAATAAAGAATCTGTGCACCCAAAGAGAAGCCATGAAAGCTAAGCACACAGTTTGCTTCTTCAATGAAATGTTCCAGAAAGCTGTTCTTTCTGGAACTCTAAGAATGATGTCATTTTACAACCCTGTGATCCTTTAGTGTCTAATGACACAGGCTCTGCCTTATCTCTCAGAATTTGCATTTTTATTTATCCATGATCTTTCTTCGTATGTCTTGAGCATTGCTTTTAAACCATAAAACCCTCTCTTAAAAGTAAGGACATTTGTACTTTACAAAAGCCTAAGCAACTTCTGCCTTATCTTAGAGCCAGGCTATCTGGATACCCACAGGCATTATATTTACCTTAGTCAAACTCTCTAGACCCTAAATCTTGGGCTCTATCTCTGAGTCAACAGTACCCATCCTTGTAAAAGAAGCCAGATGTACTTTGTAAAGAATCTCAATGTAAACATGTCTTAAATTTTTGTTCACTTGAGACTGAGTTAATTGTTATCTGGATACTTTTCTCAAAATTGTGTTGTAACTACAGCAAAATGATCTTGGCCAGACGCTAGAAGCCCTGGTCCAACACTGCCTACAATAAAATCAGGCTAAGCCAGAGTTTCATTCTTGTTGTTTTATAGATTGTTTTTCTTGCCCTGCCTGCTGTAAAGCCTAAAGGGAAATCAACACAGAGAGTGCTTAGACAGTTCCTCCTGGCAGAAATAGCATGCACTGTGTCTGTTTCTTTCAGAAATAGTAAACTTCTGAGAGGTTACATATTTATGACTGATAAAAAATTGTTTGATGAATCACCCAGACAGGCTCCACTGAGATTGCTGGTACTTATTAGCAGCAACATCAGAGTACAAGGTTCTTTCTCCCTCTCCACGGTTTCAAGTTTCAAACTTCCTCCTGAATTCAGTTTAGTCTGTTGCTCTCAGGTCATAGAAGAGTGCTTCAGAGGTTGAGGGAACTTCAATGAACAATCTAAAGTCAGTCTTCACTACCTCACACTACTTACAACGGGTAGAAATAGGTATGTATTTCAATGCAATTTGATTCAAACTAAAAGATAGAGAGGAGATTTGCCAAGGACCCTTAGAGGAGCTGAACCTCCTACCTATTAGCCTGTCATGGTGGGTCTCTGTAGAAGTGGACATGCTTGAGGATTCTGTTATTTGAGTTATTCTTTTGGAGTATGTAATACTCAAGTATTTCTGAGCAAGAGAAATAATAAATTAATTACAGAAACCGGAGGCATGGTTTTTGTTTGATTGATTGGTTGGTTGGTTGGTTAAGTAGCATTTTTTTTTGTTTGTTTTAGGTGTGTGTGGCCTAATTTAGGGACTTCTAGGAACAAGCTGAGGACCATTTAACCTCGATATAAGACATAAGACATTGGGCAGGTACAAGCATGAGCTACAGTTTCCTTTTTCATTTTCCTCAATTCTGAATTTACTAGGTTTACTTGTTACAAGCTCAGGGATATTTGGGTTGCTGCAAAATACAAGTGTTAATCCATAAAGCTGCTATAAACACAAGCAAGTTTTATGTGTCAACACAGCCATTTCCCTTAGATCCAGGGTATGAGGTAAATGCAGTCTCATTGTAACAAATGCTAAGTTGTATTTCAAATGTTTTCCCCAAATTTTGGCAATATTAAACAAATTTAATGCATATATATATATATATATATATATATGTGTGTGTGTGTGTGTGTGTGTGTGTGTGTGTGTGTCATTATATTCCATATTTTGGCTCATTTTTTAAAAAAAACCATTGTGTTTATACTATGTGTGCATGTGTACTGTAGATGGGGAAGGTGGACAATTCTTAGGTAGAGAAAGGATAAAATCTCTCCTGCATATGATGCTTGGACATTGGTTTTTATGGTGTGATTCACAACTCATCCTCTGTATTATAATTGACTCAAAATTGACTACAGAACCAGACATGAATCCTAGAACTAAAGTCTATATTGATGAAAAATATCTGGGTGGATGAGAGCTTGTCTCAGGAAAGATTTTCTTGGTTACAATACTGAAAGATTTACCTACACACAAGAAAACTAAACTGGATTTAATGCAATGAACACTCTGCCTCTCTGCTTTACCTCCTAAAAGGGAATAGAAAGAATTATAATGTACTGGCAGGGTCCCCACTTTTGTGTGTGTGTGTGTGTGTGTGTGTGTGTGTGTGTGTGTGTGTGTGTCTAGCTCTCCGTCTTTGTCTCTGAGTTTTTCTCTTGAAAGGAATTGTACCTACTTTGTACTGAGAGTTTTTAAAACCCGATGTTGCATTAGGTGTATCACTGTGTCTTTGGCAGAAGGCAGAACTGTGATTATTGCTATCCTTATGCAATTGTTTGCTTTTGACAACTGTTTCTGTATGAAAATGAAAATTGTTTTCAGCATTGACATTTTCCTGCAACATTGTAAACCTGATTACTTTTAGAGCCCTTTTAATAGACTTCTTATAAATTCATATGTAGATATATTCATGCCATCTGAGTATCAACACTTTTATCTTCGTCAGACTTGAATGTTATTTTTTATTTTTGCCCTTTTGTCTTAGCTTGGCCATCCAGAGTCACACTAGAGTGGTGAACAGACATCCTTGTCTTTTTAGCGGTCAGCTTTACCTGCTCTTGCAGATTCATGAGATTGATATTCTGATATTTATTTTTTCAGGTGAAAAACTCCAAGGAAAATGTCTCAGAAATGTCTCCCCTGCTGTACTTTCCTGCTACTTTGTAATAATCTTAATCAGCATTCTAGCTATAATTGCAGTTTGTGCTCGTTTGTCATTGGGAGGTAAGGAACTTAAAAGATGACAATCAGAAACCTCTAGACAGAGATGTGTATCCACCTGGGGGAACTATTCAACCCAGAGGAAAAGGAGAGGAAACTTGAAAAGAGACTCTCAAGGAGATTGCTGCAGCTAAGGGAAGTGAGAGCAGAGAAGAGTAATATGGTTGGGGAAGATACAGGAATCCCACCCCCATGACCGTAGTTTCAGTTAATATCTTCAGTCATTATCTGAAAATATTAAATATAAAGTTCCAGAATATGTGTTTCCTTAGTTTTAGTTGTGGACTGTTGTGAATGATGTGATAAAATCTTGCACAACTTGACTTCCTTAGCTGGAGTAAATGTTTCATAATAATGATAATATATAACATATGTATAATATATAATATATATAATTACATTTAATTGTCTCAGAAAACACACACATCACACACACACATATATATACATATATGTATATATGTATGTATATACACACACACACACACATATATATATATATATATATATATATATATATATATAGAGAGAGAGAGAGAGAGAGAGAGAGAGTCCTGACTGTCTTGAAACTCACTAGTCCAGGCTGACCTTGAACTTGCAGGTCTGCCTGCCTCTATTTCTCAATGCTGGGTCTTCAAGGTATGAACCACCACCACTCAATACTGTTTTATGAAATAATCTTTAGCCATGCCAAAGAATAATACACACATCTAAAGAAAACAAACATTTGCCAACAAGTCTTAGTCAGTGTAACCTCAACTATTACATAGCTCTGAAAGGAGTCAGATAAAAAGAAATGACAGTCACCCTTGCTGCCAGTTGCTTTTGTTCCTTTCACTGAAACCCTGTGATACTGGGTATATGAACTGGGAACAGCTCAATAAATTCCCCTCAATTAAAAATAATTGGGTTTTCATTTCTGGTAATTAATATTTCTAATCAAATAATTTATTTCTAGTACTCACTAGATCATTGAAACAACAGCACTTTCATACTGATCTGCTGAAGGAAAAGAGTTGAGTTTATGAAAGTAAAGTGTGTTATCCTTCTAAGCTGTCCTCTGAAACCTCACTGCATTCAGAGCTTTTTACACTCGCATGCATGCAAACAATATACACACAAACACGCACACAGACACACACACACATAAACATACACACACAGTCACTTTATTATGGTAGACTCACAAATGAACATATTACAGAGCTTCTTTAGCATAGCTACTGCAAAATTTGCCAGTCCCAAACCCTATTATCTTGTTGAACCTACACGCAGTTGGAATAGCCATTCTGAAGCCATGGAACTTTGGTTGTGGTTTTTGACTTTCACTGTCAGTCACAGTTTCATGTGTTTATCTGCCACCAAAAGAAAAACTATGGCAGAGTATAAACTAGAAAAACTATTATATTTATGAACTTTTTTGCAGCTTTTGAGGCCCTTTGCTGCATTCTGTCCTTCTTCACCTTACGTCACTCTTCCTTGTTCTGCTTTCTACGTGTTACACCATGCCCACACTCACAGCTCTCACTCTGTATGTCACAAGCTGGGATTGATTGTGAAGTGGAATGTGGGTCCCCTACTTTATGAGTTTGAGTGACCTCACTTGATATTATACTTTCCCAAACCACCCAATTTCTGGCAAATTCCCTTTTTCATTTACAACTGAATAACATTCTATTTTGTACAAATAACACATTTTCGTTATCTTTTCATCGGTTGATTGACACCTAGGTCAGGTCCATTTCTTTACTATTGTAAATAGGGGAGCAATAAACAAACGGTGCAAGTTTCTCTATGGTAAAATGTGGAATTCTCTTCTTACGTACCTAAGAGTAGCAGAACTGGATCACATGGCTGGTCTATTTTAAAATTTTCTGAGGAACCTCCATTCTCGTCATATTTGTTTGGACTCTCACCTGCAGTAAATATGTTTCCCTCTGTCTGCACATGCTTCTAAACAAGCTGGCCTTGAACTCACAGAGATCTGCCTGCCTCTATCTTCCAAGCACTGGTATTAAAGTCAAGTGTCACCACAGCCCAGTATTGTCAGATTTCTTACTGAGAGCCATTCTGACTGGCTCTAACAAGAGCCAACATGTGTTCACAAACATTTAATGCATGTGGTAGAATTATGGAATATCAAAATTTGATATTTAAGAGTTTTTTGACCATGCCATGTTTTGCAGGTTGGTTTTTCTCTATTGTAAAATCCAAACAAATAAGAGGTTTTCTTTTTTATCAAGAGAAAAGCGGGATGTGAAAGATTAGGGGAATGGAAGCTGTAGGATTTCAGGAATCAGGAATAATCTTAATGGGCTAATTGCCTAGAAATTATTTATTTTCATGGTAAGGAGTCTCTAGCCCCAGCACTCACTTAGGAGGCATAGCCAGCAAGATTACTAAGGCTCCAGACAAGTGCAGTCTACATAGTGAGATCCAGGCCAGTTAGGGGAACATAGTGAGATTCTGTTTGAAACATTAAAATACAAAGAAGGGAGACAAAAGAACTTCCTCATAACCCAACCAGAATGCTCCGAATTGGGGACCCTTATGCTAGTAAGGGGTCCCCTAGTGAATAATTATGAAAGTATAGTTCAAACGCACACCTCACTGCTAAGATTTGAATAACTAGTCAAACGGATGAGACACAAAAATGTTTATTTATTATATTTCATGACACTGTCTGCATTTTAGTGAGATCTGGCATTGAGTACCATAGACCTTGCTATGCCACCTGCCCAAAAGAATGGATTGGATTTGGAAGCAAATGTTTTTATTTTTCTGAAGACATGAGAAACTGGACATTCAGCCAGACCTCCTGCGTGGCATTAAAGGCCCATCTAGCTAAATTTGAGAGTCCGGAGGAGCTGGTAAGAAAGAATCAGGAACTGGTTTGTTGTTTGTGTTCAGCCATGTATTTTGGATTATGCATGTAAAAAAACATCCACTGAGAACTGAGGGATGTTATGGCTCCAAAATCAATGACCCTCAACTGCCATCCTTCGATTAGGCTGTATGTTAGAAACACCGAATGGTCACTGGAAGCTGAAAGATGAACGTATTCATTTTTTGTGTTTTATAACAGAATTTCATGAAGAGATACAAAGGGCCTTCTGATCACTGGATTGGTCTGCGTAGAAAGTCATCACATCACCCTTGGAGGTGGACAGACAACACTGAGTATAACAGCTCGTATGTTTTCAGACCTTCTTTCCTTCTACTGTGATCACTTTTGTGAAGTGTGTGTGTGTGTGTGTGTGTGTGCGTGTGCGTGTGTGTGTGTGTGCGTGTGTGTGTGTGTGTGTGTGTTTATAAGATATAAATGGCTGTATCATTTGAAGTCAACTATACTGGGAAGGAAGGAATGTAAGCCTTACAAGTGGAGGTGTGTCTCAGAGGTAGGCTGTGTGCTTACATGCACAGTCAATCCCTAGTAACTCCACATCCTTACATATTTAAATTTTTTGGATGTTCTCCCACTTATTGGCCACCATTCTCAAAGCATTTAATTAGCATGATTTCACTTGAAATCTTTAGCATTGTGATGACTCTGGGGTAGATATTGTCTGCTCCCTCGTCATTCGAAAACTTTTCCTCAATGAGAAACACCTGTGTAGGTTTTCTACAAAATTTCAGAAGAGCAATTGAGAACTCTGAAACTCTAGGAAGCTACTGTAGAACTGGGGTAGGACTTGTCAGTCAAACTGTTTTAACAGCTACACCTGTCACAGAAGCAGCGATGCCAGGGCCATTGGGAAACTCCCCAAAAGTCTCATCATTAAAGAGCACAGAGACAGACAGCTCTTGGAAGCAAGAATAGCCATTTTGAATGGAGCCATTCACTGGAACAATAAAACATAGATCCAGTCACATGATCACTAAAGACCTTTTAGTAGTTTAATAAGAAGTGGATTTTCTCTCACTTTCAAACATGCGTAAAATGCTTCAAGATACAGTCAAAAATCACCCTCAGTGAGGCCATCCATGGCAACAGTCCATTTGAACATGACATCAAGTGCCAGTTAAATGCTTTGAATACATATTACAGGGCCAATGTTGGCAAAAGACAAGATGTAGTTTTCAAACTGAGACCTGAGTATGCACAAGATGTTTGAATACAATGTTGGTCAGTGCAGAATTTTGTTGCTTTGCTTTTTTGCTTTAGGGTTCTCACCCGCGGAGAAGGGGAATGTGCCTACCTGAGTGACAGAGGTATCAGCAGTGCCAGGAACTATGCTCCTAAAAAGTGGATTTGTAGTAAGTCCAACAGATATACCTAACAGTAACCAACATATTTCAAATCCAAAGCATGACTGAGAAACAGATGCTGTGTGACCTGTTATCTGCAGTTTCTGTTCCACTCCTGATCTGCTAAAATCATCAAAATCCATCAATAATACGTGTTGACAGCAAAGACAAAAACCTGTTTAGAGGATTACAGATCCAGGAAATTGGAAAAACAGATGATTCTAAATTAAATAGATGTCGCAGTATGAGTTAGTTCTCAAATCTTGAACTTAAAGTACAGTCATGTCTGTATTAGTAAGCTCCACTTTTATGACCAGATCTGAATGTTTTTTTATTGGTCTTTGCTTTAAAAGTTTGGAAACTAAAAATGTGAGGTTCTAAACCAATGGAAAAGATTCAATAATCACAAGAAATATTATAATTCATCTGCAACCTCAAAATATTTTTGTAAACTCTGTCATCATTCTTTTACAAAATTCAGTGACCAATATGAAGGGCAATCTAAACAGGATTGAACCCGATGCTGTACACTGTGGGATTCAACAACATTGTCAAAAAGGTTTTACACTTTACTTCTTAATGTTCTTTTAAAAATTAAAATAGACTAAGGATATGTTATAAGCAAATGTCATTTTATTTTCTTAAATTAACTTTTTCCAGAGTTTCATATTATGAGTATGCCACTTGAATTTTTTTCTGTAGTAGGCTCTTTTCGGATCAGGAAACAGTTAAGCATTGAACCTCCTTCAAAGCAACCATTTACACATTTTTGAGTTTAAGAAAAAAGTATTTAAAATTTTTTGTTCATATGCTATACTGTACTGATGGGTTCCCGAAAGGATGAAATAATGAAATAACAGGTCACAATCATTTCTGTTTACTTATTTTATTGACATATGGATTAAATGTTCTCACTAATGCTAAGCAAACACTGCACTGCTATTTGCCACCGTCTCTTTTTGTAAACTTTGTATTATAAAAAGGCTGCTATGTAATACTAAACCCGAGATGGCTGGAATTGGAGCTATGGATCACCACATAGGACATAGCTCTACTCTTTATTAAAGTATCTGGTGCGGGAGAATTGTCTGTATTCTGTCAATCATGTTTTAAATAAACGCTGATTGGCCAGGCAGGAGGTGTAGGTGGGAAAACTAGACAGGAAGTGGAAATGATGCAAGGAGAGCAGGAGAATTCTGGGGAGGAGGAAGTTGATTTCTCCCACTCCTGCCCAGATCACCGAAGCAGCAGGATGTGAGCTGCCCCACTGAAAAAAATACTGAGCCACATGACTAACATAGATCAGAAAAATGGGTCAATCAAGATATGAGAGTTAGCCAGTAAGAAGCCTGACCTAATGGGTCAATCAGCATTATAACTTACAGAGATCTGTGTGTGATTTTTCTCTGGGACTAAATAGCTGGGGGACAGGGCAGGACAAAAACCCCAACAAGCCTTTCCTTCATGTTACAAGTATCTAGTCAGGTCTAGTGATATGGCTCTGAAGGTAAAGGCACCAGCCACTAAGACAGATAACCTGAGTTTAACACCTCAACCAACATGCTGGAAGCAGAAAACTATCCACAGCATGTTGTCCTGTAATTTTTGCTGTATGTATATGCACACACAAATAAATAATAAAATTAAATAAAAATAGAGTTTGTAGAATGCTTATTTTGGGTCTATATTTTATTATTTTCTTAATCTCTTTCATTCTTTGTTTTTCAAGACAGAATTTCTCTGTATAGCCTTGATTATCCTGAAAGTTCTTTGCAGATCATTTGGTTTGAAACTCAAAGATTTACTTGCCTCTGCCTCCCACATTCTGGGTTTATATTCATGTATCACCTGGAGCTATGTCATTCGGACCAGGGCCATGTCTGACTATGTGGCCCTCCAGCAGTCAGGATCTGTGTTAATGTCTGAAGTTCTTGATACTATGGAAGTCCATGCTGAAGCCAGGGGTCTGGGCTGCCACCTCAGATCATTTTGGTGTTATAGGGCAATAATGCTGTTGGAACCATGCCAATCTGAGTGGCCTGTGTTGCCACCTGGTACCATGGTGACATTAGAACCTGGGCTGTTGCCTAGGACCATGTCTGTGTCCTAGGTCCTACCACAGTAATGATCTGTCTGTGGTTCACGTTCCCACCAAAGGCCACATGGATGTCCCAGGTCTAGACCGCAACCTGTGGCCATGTGAGTATCTGAGGGCCATGCCACCTCCAGCTCCATGCTAATTTGAGTGACTTGCACTGTCGCCGGGAACGGGAACCATGGTATTATCCAGACAAAGGCTGATATCCATGGCCATGTTTGGATCCATGGCCCTGCAGGGGCCAGAGCCTGGGATGATATCCATTGCTCCTGTTACCACTGAGGATTCTTCAGATGTCCAGTGTCTGTTCAGCTGCGTGACACAATGTTGGTGTCTGAGGGCCAAGCTGCTGACAGAACTATGACGGGGTCTGTGATCTCGCTGTTTCTGGGGTCTGTGTTTATGCTCCTGGCTTGTGTGACCACAGGGGTCAATATGAACTATTCCTGTTGAAACCTGATGATGGCTTTGTTGAGCTGGCCCTTTTCTTCACTGACCCTGGAATATCTGGCCCTGCCCCTCTCTGGAGAGCTGGCCCCTGCTCTGGAAAGACGGGCTGCACCTTACCTGGGCAACACAAAGAAACTGACCCATTTGTTGGATATGCAGATGAACTAGCTCTGAGGGTATGAAAACAATAGAACTACCCCTGTATCCCCTTTTCTGCCATGGGGTGGCATGGCTGAGAGAAAGATGTCCTTTCCTCCCCTTACCCACTATCACCTGCTGCAGGTGAGAGAGCTGATCCTGGAGTCATGAGAGTTAAAGAACTAATCCTGACCTCACCAGCTGCAGCACACAGGACAGCAGGCACTGCACCCCACCTGGGCAGCACACTATAGATGACTCCATTGTCAAAGGTACAGGTCAGCCAGACCTGAAGGCCTGAGAGCAGGAGAGCTGACCCTATCTCCCCTCATATGCCCCCTATATCATTTAGGATAAAGGGACCTGTACCTCACATGGGAAAAACAATAGAACTAGCCCTGGTGTTGTTAGTATGGGTGAGCCAGCTCTGAGGACTCAAGAACAGGAGAACTGGAGCTAGCCTATGCAGTGCTAGGGAGCTCATCTCAGTAGTAACAATAAGGGAAAACTGGTAGACAAACCAACCCAATTATCTTCTAGACTCAGAACCAGGGCTGTGAGTAGCCCAGCCCAACACCCACCTCATCGATGAACTATTGGAGCAGGAAAAGGATATAAATGTACAGACCCAAAACTTCAGAATCTCCTTGACACAGGACAACAATAGGATATCCAAAAGGAACCCCAGTGAAAGTCCATTATTGATAGTGTGGCAGAAGCAAGAGGCCTCAAGTCAGACCAATGACTCATAGCAATGAACACTTAAAACTAAAGATGAAAGAGGTCAAGACCATGATGGGTTCACCCACTGAAACTGTTTACCTGAGCTAATGGGAACTCACCAATTCCAGCCATACTGTGAAGAAACAAGCATAGCACCAGACTAGTCCCACTGAATGTGGTTGACAGTTGCATGGCTGGGGTAGACTGAGGGTCCACTGGCAGTGGCACCAGGATTTATCCCTACTGCATGTACTGGCTTTTTGGAATCCTATTCTCTTTGGATGTATACCTTGCTCAACCTAGATATAGTAAGAAGGGCCCTCAACATTCCACAAAGCAATGAGAATTGGAGGGGGTGGGAATGGAGGGTGTGTGGAGGGAATGGAAGGAAGGGAAGAGTGGGAACTTGAATTGTTAATTTTTAAAAATCTAAAAATTGAAAAAAAGAAGAAAGAACACAGTTGCCACACCAACCCCAGTAGAATCTGTGTGACAAGTTCCACAGACTGAGGTATTTGACTCCAAAAAGAGGAGGTCTCCTGGAACCGGCTGTGGAACTCTCTAGCCAGATAGAAAATATTGAGCAGTAGTTCTCATGACAGTCTGTCTGCTTCTATTTCCTTTTTATACTTATGAGATGGTTCTGATAGCTTTGGCTGAGAAGAAGCCACCCTCTTGAATTGGGGTATCTGGCCATGATCTCTTCTCTAAGAAGTTCAGCACTTTGCTTCATAATCATTTACATAATTATAAAATAAAACTTTGATAGAATGTCCTCCCGACATTATATGAATTTGTATGGCTATGCATGTGTAGATGAGCTTGACTTTGACATTGTGGAGTAGAAAGCATTGTTTAAGTATAGTATCAAATTGAACTTTGAGGATTTTTAAAAAGATAAAAATTAGACATTAGTTAAGGATTATACATGAAAATTTATAACTTTATCTGGACTTAGGAGTCATCCATTAACTACAAGTGATTTATTGTATTGTTTTGTTCAGTGACTAAGATTTTATCTGTTCCATTCATAATTGATTCTTTGAACCCCCTGTCCAGGAAATGTAATGCCTGATTGATTTTGTGTCTTTTTGTGTCTTCTTGTGCCAGGTGATTATGATAATTTGTTCTTTGTAACTGCTTCACTGAACACATCTTTTAAGAATTTTAATACCTGTTCTTCTTGTATAAAAACCCTTGTTTGAGAACTGCAAAATACACTCAGATTCAAACTGCCTCTGTGTTTGTTTCTTGTTTGTCACTGCCGAACCCTAATCCACCTGGTCTTGGAGAAACCATGTGAGACAAGGCCCCCATACCCGGCTGGGATGGTCGGTGGCACACAGTTTTAAAAAAAAGAAGTAAAGATGAATGGCCTAAAAAGGTATGGCTTTGTTGGAGGCAGTATGTCACTGTTGGGACAGGATTTGAGGTTTCCTATGCTCAGGATAACACCTAGTGTCTCAGTGAATTGCTACCTGCAAGATGCAAGACTTTCAGCTACTTCTTCAGCAACATGTCTGCCTGCATGCTGCCAAGCCCCCCACCATGATGATAATGTACTGAACCTCTGAAACTGTGAATCACTTCATTTAAACTTTTTTCTTTATAAGAGTTGCTTTAGTCATAGTGTTTCTTCACAATAATAGAAACCCTAAGACAGACACATACCAAGAAAGTGTAGGTTACTCTATTTATAATATGTTATAAGCAAATAATATTTTATTGTCCTAAATTATCTTTTTTCAGAGTTTCATATACGAGTACGCCATTTGTATTTTACTCTTTATTAGACTCTATTTGGATCAGGAGACATTTAAGAAATAACCACCTTCAAAGAAACTTTTGTGTTTTAAGGAAAAAATATTTAATATTTTTTTCATATGCTATACTGTCCTAATGAGTTCCAAAAAGGATGGAATAACAGGTCACAAGAATAATTTCCATTAACTTTGCCTTCTTACTTTATTGATATATGGGTTAAACTTTTTCACTATTGCTGTACAAACAATGCACTTCTGATATTTACCACCACAACATTTTTGTAAATTTTGTTTCATAACAAGGCTGCTATGTAATCCTAATAGTGACATGACTGGAATTGGAGCTATGTATTACCATGGATCCTCCGCCCAAGATGGATGCTAGTTAGAATCTTTCCTGGTAAGCCACTGCCATATGGTTATACACAGATTAATGGAACT